GTATCAAACCTTCTCATGACGTCTGCACAAATAAAAATGTGAGTTATTGTTTTGGGAATTCAAAAGGTCCAAGAAACCAATCAGCAAATATTAAACTCAGTTTTTATTTTACTTCTTCCTGAGTTTTATTTTTCTATTTAGTGCAAGTTCTACAGTTGAAAAGTTATAAATAAGAAATAAATGACTTTTTCAATCTCTTTTTATTTACAGTTCAGGTCTTTTTTAATCATATCATTTGAACATTGAAGTCACTTTCTAACCAACATGTCTCTAACTTTTGTAAATCAAGTCGTTGCAAAATGTCTGGATTCCATTAAGCAAGAAAATATCCAGGAAAGTAGAAACTCAAAGTCAGACAGGTTTCTTCTAATTGAATATCATTTTTCTACACTATGATGGCCGATCAATTACAATAGTATTGTATTAAAATATAAATATACCTGCTGTAATGTGGTTTAACTTGGTGCTTTTTGAAGTGAAATGATGAAAATTTACTTAATACTTATTTAAAAACATTAGTGAAGTGAATTTAATCTGCTGTCTAATAAAAAAGTGGTGAACAAGTTTTATAATATTCTTCAGACGATGCATGTTCAGGTTTCTTATACATTTAATGTCAGCATTAATTAAAAATATGATTTAAAAGCAAATATAAAATGACTCTGGATACTGAAAGATAATTAGGATCATTGTAACATGAATACAGACTAACATGACAAATTAAACCTTACGTTGCTCAATGTATGGATACATTTGATGTCAAATATTTTCTGTTTTTAGTTCATAACAACACATCACAATCAGGAGACATAGAAACATTATAAAAGTGTTGAATATAGAAAACATGAACAGTCAATTTGATGTGAAGTTCAAATAAAAACTGAACCACTTCTCTCTAGTGGTGGCTGAATCAACTCTGAGTTTTCTGTTTCATGACAGCAGGTGTGGATTTGCATGATCTCAATGCTTCGCTGCTCCTCAAGCTTTAAGTTCTTGTGCTGCAGAAAGTCCAAAGTGTGTTTGTGCTCCGACCCTGAAACCTGCATCAGGATGACGTCTCCAGTCGCTCTGATGGTTGTGTTGGGTTTTCTCATTCAGGGTCAGACTGACTTTTAAATTGATCCATCAGGTTTTGTTTGAACTTATTATTGTTTTTATCTTTTAACATTGCTCATTTGTCTTTTCAGCATCATCTGCCAATAATTTTCTGACTCAGACTGAACGATCAAAGTCAGTCAGTGTTGGAGCGACTGTGACCATCAGCGCCACAGGAAGTTCTAATATTGGTGATGATCTCAGTTGGTACCTGCAGAAACCTGGACAACCTCCTAAACTTCTTATATACAGAGTTTCAAGTTTGTTCTCAGGAACTCCATCAAGATTCAGGGGCAGCAAATCTGGTTCTGATTACACTTTAACCATCAGTGGTTTTGAGGCTGGAGATGCTGGAGATTATTACTGTCTGGGTTATCATGGTGGCTACGTGTTCACACAGTGATTTAGAGTCGTACAAAAACCTCCTCCAGTCTGACTGAAGGCTGCAGGTGCAGAAAAATGATGAGTTCTGGTTCAGTGAACACATCATAGAAGTTACCAAGTAAAACCATCAAATATCTAAGGTTGAAATCACCAACTATAGATTATTTTATAATCACAGATGTTTAAATTAGTTTTGCAAATATGGATTCTCAATAAGTTTTCTGATGTTTTTCCTCACAAACACTAAAGAGTCTTTAGTTTTTATCTCAAGTTTTTACATGTGCAGGTTTCTAAAACATGTTATAAACTTTAAAGAAATGAAGAAGAGATGACGTTTGATCAAGAACATGAACGTTAAAACACAAGAATAAATACAAAGACAGTGATTCACATAAATCTGCAGGTTTATTGAAACAATCCATTTCCTCAAAATCACACCAGAGAGCATAAGAAAGACGAATGAAAGGTGAAAAGCAATGATAGTGAATAAAACACGACAACATGATGGTTTCCAGCCATGAAGCTGCAGCTCTACTCTGAGCAGCGGTCAGGCTCCAGGGTTTCAGTGACAGGACTCTGTCCACTCTGATTGGCCTCACAGGTCACTGAGCCCGCCTTCCTCCACTGGTCTGCAGGGAGGCTCAGGGTGCTGCTCCAGCTGTAGCGGCCGTCTCCTCCCAGCACCTCCAGGCTGCTAGACACCCCTGAGGACATGCTGCTGCCCCCCACCTTCCAGCCCAGCCTCCAGGTGGAGGGGAAGCCCCCGCTGGCCAGACACACCAGTGTGACGCTGCTCTGCTGCTGCTGCTCTTTGGAGGGGGGGAGGACGGTCAGGGTGGGCCGCAACACACCCACTGGAGGAGAGAGGGGGAGAAAAGACGCAGCAGTGAGAACCAAGGCTGCTGAAGACACCTTCACTCTTCATCATGACTCAGCACATCTTCAACACAGGAGAATAACGAATCGCTGAGATGATTTTCTGATGGTCAAACGAAACATTCAAGTGGAAACGGTTCAAACGTTGACATCTGTTTCTTTCACTTCCTTTAAACTACATGGAAAACAAATGAACCGTGAACACAGAGCTGCTCTGAGTTCACTCACTAAATATCAATTCAGTTTGACAGGAATTCAGGTTGAAAGTTTAAAATGAAGAAATAATCAAAATATGATTAATTAACAGGAACAAATGACCCAGAAAAGACAAAAAACAGCAAAAAGAAGTAAAATGTTAGTTTTGATGGTAGAAAAATTAAAGCTTACATTGTCCAAAGCGTTGATAAAACAACTTTGAACTGTAGATTTTATTGTTTGTCAAGATAATTTTTACTGGTTGTTTGTTTTAGATTTTTTACAGCTGTGGAGCAAAACAAACCTCTGAAGCTCAGTTATAAACTTTCACATTTACATTTTTAAATCTAATAAAATTTACAAACTTTACTAGAAATTGAATCAGTAAAGTTAAAAAAATTCAATTCTTTTAATTTTTCTACAAAGAAAAACTTTCTGGTACTTACAGTCAACGATGAGTTTGGTTCCTCCACCAAAAGTGTACCACAGTGATACAAACTCATTGAGAGGCCGTACAAAAACCTCCTGCTCTGTCACTAGACATCCAGCTGCTGAAATTATGCTTTTAAAGTCATGAAAATCCCAGTTAAACTATATTTAATCTACAAATCATCCAACATTAATGGAACTTTAAATTGCTTCATAATTTAAGATAATATTTGTGGTTTCACCTGTGAGAGGCAAATGTTACTTTCTCTCTTTCAATCATTCTAACATTGTTTAACAATTCACCTTATATTATGTGTAAACACTAGAACCATTTTTAATGTAATTTAATTCATAAAAGCCTTTGAATTGTCATTTTGCATTGATATATTTTATATTTACCTGTAAATTTTAGTAAAAGAGTAAAATAATCCTTATATGTCCAAACGAAATTTAATTTTAATCCAAGAACTGAAAATCCTTCATGTTGTTTCTGTTTGATTTTCTTGTATTCCAATAAGATGATGAGTTTTTAATCCAGTCTCTACTAGTGTTGGTTCAGAGTCTCTGTTTGTCTGAGCAGAGAAATGATTTCCATAGACTGGAGGCTTTGCATGATCAGCTGATCCTCCAGTGAACTGAGAAGGTTTATAGTCCTGTGACTTCAACACTGCAGGACTCAGATCTGTCAGTCCAGCCAGCAGAAGCAACAAGCACCATGACCCTCATCACCATCCTCATCTGGACGCTGACCTGCTGCTGTTTTACAGGTTCATTCACTCAGCAACGTTTCTAACATGATGGCTGCTGCCTTTTCTCCTTTCTTTCTGCTGATGAATGAAGGATTTGTTTTTGTCTGCAGGATGCAGAGCTCAGATCACTGTGACTCAACCTGCAGTGGAGACATTTACACCAGGATCCACTGTCACTATCAACTGCACAACAAATCCTGCTGTGCACCGCTGGAGCGATGGTGACGAGGGTATGTCCTGGTATCAGCAGAAACCAGGACAGCCTCCTAAGCTCCTGATATATTATGTAAAAAAGCTTCAATCAGGAACTCCAACTCGGTTTAGTGGAAGTGGAAGTGGCTCTGCCTTCACTTTGACCATCAGTGGAGTTCAGAGTGAAGATGCTGCAGTTTATTACTGTAAGAGTTTCCATGTAGTAAATGGTGCTAACGTGTTCACACAGTGATTAGTAGCCGTACAAAAACCTCCCTCAGTCAGACTGCAGACACTCTGAGCTATTAGAGCAGAAACTCAACACACTCTGATACAGACCACTGAACCTCATTATTATATTATTATTATTATTATTATTATTATTATATTAGAGCTTTAATCAGTTAGAACATTTATCAAGCATCATTTAGAACAACATAGAAACAATTTTTACCATTACAGTGTTTCTCTAAGGCTCTTTCAATTACTTAGGTCAGCAAACATATAGTAAGGCTTTAATGTGTCTGTGTAGCATCCATTCATCATCATACAAGGTTCGCCCTACTTTTGTTGCAGAGGATGCTGCTTCCATTTTCCAGCGGTCAGTGAGCGAGAGGCGGCTTACACCCTGGACAGGTCGTCAATCCATCGCAGGGCAAGAGACAGACAGGACAAACAACACGCACACACACACACTCAGGAAAAATTAAACTGTGACCTTACAGTTTTTCTTTTTTTGTTTTGTTTTTTTTTGGACTGTGGGAGAGAACCCACGCATCCACAGGGAGCACATGCAAACTCCATGCATTCAAGCCTGGATTGGAAGCCTGGCCCGTCCTTCTGCAGCCCAGCCGCGCTGTGCAGCCCGCTTTTGTTACTATTGTTCACTTATTCCTCTAGAGGGCGCTCTTGATTAAACAGTGGAATCCACAGTCACATGTCAAGGGAAATTGTGGCAGTGTAAAAAAAAAAGAGAAAATCATTTCCATTTTTCATTTGAACGTGAAAAAAACGGAAGTATCACCAGTCAGAGAACTGACTTATATTATATATCTTATATAAACTCAGAACAACCAATGCCAAGCTGATGGGCTGGGTCTAAATCAGACCAGACCGGGCTTTTCCGCATTTCAGGGGAAGGATTTTTTTTTTTTTAATTAGTTGCAGGAAGGGAAGTTTGCACGGATTGACAGCACCATCAAAGTGTCCACTCCCTGTCAGTGATCAGGTGCATTTTCTGTACAGGTCGTCATCATCTTGCTGTCATCCTCACCTCGGCGGCTCACGTCGATGGTCGGTGACCGCAGAGATTTAAAAAGAACATGTGCGATCGGAGAGGAAACCCGCTTAAAACAATATTTCAGCTGATGTGTCAACTTCTTTGGGTGAGGTTTTCTTCTTTTCAGTCTTTCTGTTTAAAAGAGTTGCCAACCTTCTAGCTGTGATATTCACTGATTTCCTTTTCTCCCCCGATTTGTTCCTGTAGTGAAACTAAACATGAAGCTTCCAAAAATAACAGAGACTCCCTCACTTCTTGCTTCTTCCTATTTTATACTCGCTTTGCTCTCACAGCTTTCTCATTTGACTCTTTTGTCATGTGACGCGTCATGTGAGGCCGGAGAGCCGTTTCCATAATTTCTATAGACTAATTCAGTTCGTGAGGAAAAGGCAGATATTATATTCAAATTGAATCTGCCTGCCACGTGAACAATCAGCATAAAAGTAATGATGTTTATTTATTTATTCATAAGTCACCTTTTGGCAAAAGTAGAGATTTTTTTTCTCCTTCTTTTTGCCCAAATTTCTTTTTATTAAATGAAAATAATATAGTTAACTCTAATGGACAAAGACAACCATTCACAAACGTTATACATTGTATTTCAGTTGTGCATGTTAAAAAAAAATTCAGCAAGTCAAAATCTGGAAAGAAGAAGAAGAAAAGCAGAGAACTATTTGTGTTTAGTCCTCCTGAAGTAATCCAGGAGCCTCCTCTCCTGTCAGCTGCGGTTGCACATTTTTCCCGGTGAACCATTAAACATCCAGTCACGCTGGCTTGAGGCGTTCTGTTAAACTCCTATTTCAAAATCCACAGCTGAGATTTGGAGAACGCCATCAACGGATTCTCCCAACTGAGCTTTTTGCATTTTGATCAGATTTGCTTTTGAATCATCAAAACTTGAAACACTGTACAACATTTTGCTGTGTGACGACGGCACTTGATGGTTTACTGTGTGGTGTCTTTTATGACTTTGTATTTTTCTGTTTTTATGATGCAAAGCACTTTGAACTGCCTTGTTGCTGAAATGTGTCATACAAATGAACTTGACTAATTTATCTGCTTCTCTTATTGTTCTCCTTGCCTGTCCTATCAGGTTAAGTGAGCAGTTATGTGTTGCTTAGTTGAAATGATGAAACTCAAATCAACTCAGGATCCTAGAAAAGATAAAAAACAATTTGGCTAAATTACTGATTCCAATCATTTCTGCTTGCTTATAAATCTTTTAAGCTTTTGAAAGCACAAGATCAAAACAAACAAATGTTGAAATGCAAATTTCAGCAACTGTCTTATTTTCCATGAACAAACGAGATTTCTATGGGACTATATTGACATCAACATTTCACTCAATCTACAGCATGAAAACTGGTCTCCTATGGAAACAACTGGATGAGTTCACAGCTTGTAAATATATTCCCCAAAATGTTAATAATAATACAACATTCATCTTTTATTTTGCCTTTGTAAGGTTGTGGGGATGGTTTTGGCCATGAGCGGAGTCTCCCTCCTGATGAAGTACAGACACTACAGCTTGTTTTTTTCTCAGACCTACATCCTCCTCCCGGTAGTCTTCACCACCTGCAGCGCTGCGTTCTTGCTCTTCACCGGTTTCCTCGGTACGTGGCTGAGCCTCAGAGACTCCCGCTGTCTGCAAGGGCTGGTGAGGTTCATCCCCGCCACCGCGGGTGAATACATGCATAATGGGAGATTTGTCTGCGTTGTACTGAAACATTTTCTCCTCCAGTTTGTTTATCTGCTGGTTGTGATCTTTTCCTTGGGAAGCACGGCCTCCGCGCTGGCCTTCGCCCACTCCAGAAAGGTGCTCCGCCTGCACAAATGCTCGTCCTTTTTGACCCGTCTTGACCTGACGGTCCGAGCTCAACTTTTTTTCTCTCGCTTACTTTCTTGTTTAGTTGGATTCCGACACAGCGTCTCTCAGCGAGGTGTTTCAGAAATACACAGGCAGCAGTCAGGACAGAAACTCTCGGCTTGTTGATGTAACTCAAGAGGAGGTGAGCCTCTTTAAGTTCTCAGAATGAAGAAGGAAAATCCATTATGCTTCCTTTCACGTCAGGTTAGGATTTTAAATGATTTGCTCTTCAGAAACGTGCTCGCCCCATTCCAGACATACTGCAAAGCGAGCAATCATAATCAAAGCCTTTACTAAATGTTTTGACCAACTTAATGAACTGATCTGCATCAGCTCCAGTGTTGTGGGGTCAGAAACTACACTGACTGGCTGGACAGCTCTTGGCTCAATGAAACCGGTGGAGATGCGTTTCCTCACAGCTGCTGCAACACTACATTCCTCTTATGTACAGGCAGTGTGAACCAGCCGTGGCAGCTTTACCACCAGGTAGATGAAAGTGCATCAGTCATGCAGGCCATAAAGGCCACTTTCTCCCTTGTATTTCTATAACCTTCCTACTGAATGTGTCTTTTTCTTTTTCCAGGGCTGTCAGGTGAAGCTGGAGATGGCTTTTCAGTTCATCTTAAAGTTTATCATGTGGACGTCCCTCCTGGGGTTTCTGACTGAGGTCTGTGCAAAGCATTCAATAACAGTCTTTAAGCCTTTATCAGTGTGTATTTAATTTGAAAAATAGTGAAAAATAAGACTCTGACAATCTGTAAATGAGTGTCTTACATCACCGTGGAGGAGTTGTGGCACGCTGTTCTTTGCAGGATGATTTTAATTCAGTCATGACCGAAGGGTTTTTAAGTATGAATATCTTATTTACGGTCAGATCACAGGATCTCAAAATCTCTATCAGATATGAGGTTTTGGCTCTTCAAAGCCTTCCGTTTTTGCTTTTGTTGCTTTTTCCTTTTAGCTATTCAGAGGTGGACTTACTGATGGTTCAGCAGTTTCAGATTTATGAAGGTCAAAGACTTTATTTCTCACCTGTTCTGTCTTCTATTGGGGCTTGATGGAATATTTTGAGAATATTGTTTCTGCCTCCTTCATGTTGTCAGCCAGGTTCTGAGAAAGAGGTTTGTTTGTTTTTACATGTCAGGCATTATAATGAAGCCTGGGTGTGGCTTGATCCAAAAATTCATGATTTAAAAAGTAAAGCAATTATATTTTTAAAGACAGGGCAATTTTGGTTTGAATGGCTTCCCCCCTCATTAAAGAAATCATTGTTTAAAATTTTGTTTTTGTTTGTTAAATCTGTCCTATCTTTGATTTTAAAATTGTTGGAGCTCAAACATTCACATGTGACTAGAAACAAAGACAAAAGAAATCTGTAAGGGGGAAGATACTTTTTTACTTGCATGTTCGCTCTGACCATAGAGTTTCCACAAGATGATGTCAGTTTATTACCTTTATATTATCAGAAGGTGAAAGAACAGTTGTATCTGTGTTATAAACTCAGTGCGTAATGGAGCCATCTACATGTAATCTGATATTTACAACACCTTTTGTCACATCTAGGTTTGTGTCATTTTAAGGATGAAGGATAAGGATAACATTTGCACTCATTATGAACTTTTAGGTTCATAATGGGGAATTATTATACAACAGCAAACTTTGATGATTAAAAAAAGCCCAAACAAAAAGTAGGAGATATGCAGGATCACAAAGTGCAATTTACCCCTTATCATTTCATTCTAGTTTTTTTTTTTTTGTAATGTTTAATATTTGGGCAGATGACTAAACCTTGCTTTCCCTTTTCTGTTATGCAGGTGGTTTTGCTTTGCACGATGGCACAGATGATAACGGTGGAAGAACGTCTTAATTATCAAGCATTCAGTGACACCTATAGGCAAATATGAAACAGCTTTTCGATTCAATTCAAAAATACTTCCTACTTTTCTAAAGGGAAATTAAACTGCCAAACAATAGTGGCCCCACAACTGAAAATTATTGCAATCAAAGTCACATAAGTCAAAAAGATGACTTATCTTGCTCTGGATCCGTTGTTTGGTTCTGGGTAAATGTATTTGTATGTTTGTTTGTTTGTTTTTTTGAAGTTCCTAATGCAAATATTTGACTTTTGAATGGTGAATAAATATAATAGAACAAACCTAATTAACTTTTGTTGCACTTTGTTCACTTTGTGCTCTGAATATACATCTCCTGTTGTTTATAGATGTTTTCTTTTGCACAATGCACCATCCACCATTGATAAGCACTATAGCATGCATTTTATTCATTTATTTATTTTAAGTTGTACCCTTTTTAAAACTGAAACGCTCTTCATAATGTTTTGTAAAAAAAAAAAAACAGGGCTTGTTAATTAATTGTTTTATATTTCACAGTATTATCACTGTCTCCAGTAGATGTAAATATATTCACTATGTTTTTTCTAACTTGCAACATATAAAACACATAGTAAATATTAGTTTTCTGGTGTGAATTTTAAACGAGTTTAGCGTTGACTGGAGATTCTGGAGACGGGCCAAGTTCGGACCATGCCGAGTGCGTCCTGCGGAGGCGTCGCGTCGTCACGTCCTCCTTCCTCTGCTTCTTCTCGACGTGAGGCCGACTTGAAGGGAACGTTCTCGAGAAGGACTAGAAATAGGAGCGGGGAGTACAAACTGCAAGTACCCCAAACAGCTGGTAAGAATTTGCAATGTTCACCGTTTTTTTCCCTCTCTCTCTCTCTTCTTATCGAAACGCGTTGCTGGTCTATGTCTAGGTTTGAGGTTTCGCGAAGGTTATAAAACGCGAGCGAGCGCCATGCTGGTTTTTGGGCCCAGGCAGCCGACGGCTAGCGGTGTTAGCATCCGAGGCCTGTTAGCAGGCCGCTGGGGTTTCGGCGCCGCGACAGATGAACGTTGACAGCACGCTCTCTAAAATGGGGACGCGGTGCTTCGCGTTAACCTAGCAAATCTCTGTCAGATAGACAGGTTTCCTCTTAATATTTGCGATGTTTGTGGTCATTGTGCAATTGAAATGACGAATTTTGTTGACTCTAGTTTTAGCGTAATCTCACCTCCAAGCCTTTTATCCCTCTAAGCGGGAACGAACCCATGTAGCTTGCTAGTATGCTAGTCAGTAATTCATTGTGATGCTACTCGGGCCTCTGCGCACCACTGCGTCGAAGAAAACGGGATTGGCCTGGAATATAAAACCGCAAACTCAAGTAGATATCCTCATTAGTTTGTTGGAGCCTCTGCAAAGTTGCAGAGAATAAAAAATCACGTCTTGCTACCGGCCAGTTTGGAAACTGTTGGTCTTAAAGGATGTTGTTTTACACCATGGCAACGGCATAGTTATTAAAACAACCGATTCAATTTTGCGTTATAGTCGGACCAGAATTGGTGTTGAAAATGTGGCATTTCTGCATTTGTTTGTTTTGGAATTATGCGATTTATTGGGACAGTGGTGTTATCAAAGCCCAGTACTCCATTAAATCTGCATGTTTTTCCTCCAGAATCTTTGTTTTCAATCTTCCATATGATGGTTTTCCAATTGTAAAACCATCATATCACATACAGTCTAATCTTATGGTAGATATTGGAGTTATCTACTATAAGATATGGTAGATATTGACAAATATATCTATAAAATGTTGCATAAATGCTATCAAGATTATGTGTGGAGGTTGAAAATAGCATTTGAAAATCATAAATTCTGGGATTATGTGATAAATTGTGAGGTTGCTTTGTGTATCAAATGGGTTTATTTTTGGTGTTCAGCAGGTATTTGGTGGGGGGAAATTTTCAGAATATCTAGTTGATTTTGTTTGGTGTGTTTTTTAATTTTTTCTTAAAATTGTACTTAAATGTAGTTTTGTGAAAGCAAAACCTGCAACATCAAGCTCAGTTATATTTAAGAAAGGGGATTGCACATACATTTTTAGGTATATTTACATTGTTACCCTATATTCTTAAAACTGCTACCTGAAGTACCAAATAAATATCCGTCACTGCGTTCCCATACATGTTAGGTAATTGAGTACCTTGTTGTTTAAGGTATTTATTACTGCAATATGTTTGGAGACACTTGTTTATTGCGTCACGTGTAAGAACTTTAAAGGTGGTCAAGTAAGAAATAACTAAGTTGTTTTAATGTTAAAAGAACAGAGTGCACCAAATAGCTACTTTTTCAAGAAAGCCTTATTGTGATGGAAATAATTGCATCCCTTTTCTAGTAGTTGGGAAGACTCATTACTTGTATGAGTCTTCTGTATTAGCAGTGATATTTACTCTTTCACTGATTTATTGGACGTCACACTGTTAGATATGATCACATTTTGAATCTTTTCTAATATTGTGTAAGCCTAATTCTCGGTTCTTAGTTTGTTTATAGATTGCATCCTACTTGATTTACTAATGGATGATTATTGTCTCTGTTTGAATTTCTACCCGTTTTTCTACCCAGCAACTATCCTTTTTGCCAAACCTATGAATACCTGCACACACACCTTTTAGTGGCTGCGTATTTAACAATTTTGTTGGCGTTTACTTATCCTGGTGGTTAAGTAGTTTGGTAATTAATGGTTGTTGTACTTCAATGAAGTGTTTTTGGTGTTTTTTTTGACAAAGATTAATTTTTTAGCAAAAGATTGGTCAGGGCTGGGTCCTGTGGTGGCACAGGGGCAAAACACAACCCACATTTTGAGGCCTTAGTCTTCATGGCAGTGGTCACAGGTTCGATTCCTGGCCTGGCGATGTAAACTGCATGTCTTCTCCCGCTCTCATTACCTTGTTTCGGGTCATACTACTTTCAATTAAAGGCCACTAGAGATAACAAAACCTTTTTTAAAGAAAACGATTGGTCAGGTTTTCCCTCAGTATAATATAATCCTGGCGGGCCACCAGGCTTTACTTTTGCCCCCACCAGGCTTAGCATTGCTTATTTATTTAAGTCTTTTTTTTTTTAAATGTTTGCAATTTTTAACACCTTATAATAATCTTTCAATAACACATGATTATCAAGTAATAATTTCAAAATTTCTCTCAACTTTAAACATTTTTTAACTCAAAAACATGATGACCCGCTGGATGAATGAACGCCCTACCGCCAGGCTCAACAAGTTTTCTGAGGGAACCTTTTTTGGTTGTATCATTACTTTGGCCCATCATAAAAGGGTTGTATGAATGGGACTCGTCCAGTCATTGGCTTAACAATCATCCTACAGAGTTTGTAATCTTTTCAGTTATTTTTATTTTTTTTTGCTTCCTTTCACTCTTCATCTTATTTTATTACCATTCTTTTACCAAACAAGTCACATCTTCACGATCCACATCATGTTCAAATATTGATAGGAATTGCTCCAAAATGAAGACTTTGGTTATTTCCAGTTGAGTCTGATTGAAATGAGCTATTACATTTACTAGTCATTGTAGAATAACTTCTCTGGATATCATTTCAGAACCACCATTTTATTTTCAATCAACAGCAGATGAGCAGGTTTTTAGTTATCAGAATATTTTCCGTGTTGTGTGCTGTCCTTTTTAGTGTAGCCCAACATGTTTCGTGGCAGTCACGCTCTCTGACTTTTGTCTTATTTTCGCTCAGCCTCAGGAGCAGTGAAGTGTCTTCATGGCAGTTCGTCGAGGACACAATAAGTACTTTAAAGTGAGTATTAATCCCCTGCTCCCATTGCAAGCAGCGTAGTAGTCCTTAACCTGTTTGCGAAATCTAAAAAAAAAAAAGAAAGTCAAATGCAAATTGCAGTCACTGATTTCTAACCTTGCAGAGACTTTTTGCGATTTTGCGTTTACTTATTCCGTAAAAGTGGGTCGACTTGCTGGTAAATGTGAAGCACACACACACGCTCAGCTCCTCCCGTCTTCACTGGTTTAATACAGGACTTTCTTTCATCCTTTGCGTCTCGCTCACTGGAATACACAATCACAGTCCCTTACTGAGTTGAATGGTCCTCAGTCAGGTTGACTCCTGGATTAGTTTCCATGTCAGTCTGCTACCAGCTGAATTAAAATCCAATTTTCAAACATCGTTTTAGAAAGTGGCAGTATGGCTTTTTAAACTGTTGCCATTTCCTTTTAGTCCCAGAGAACTGTCCAAACTAGATTTGACCAATTTGACTAAAAAGAAAGAAATTAACAAATAAGTAGACTGACTGATGGGAATAGTGTTGTGATGTCATTGTGAATAGAAGAACAGATTGTGCAGCTCTATACATTATTCCTACAATATTCTGGTTGCACAAAGTATTTCTAGTTGGACTGCTTCCTTTCTTTGACTTGACAGAAAACTGAACATTTTCTGCCTTGTATGGTAGAAAATTTATTTTTTTTAATAAAATTTTGATTTATTTAATTTTTGTCTGCTTTGGTAAGTGTCTTCAGAGAGACCCACTTAGTTTAAATCGAGGTCAGTGCTTGAGAAATGCAGCTGAAAAATGTTTTTTTAAAATTGATTTCAGTACATCTTTGCTCTTTTTGTATTATCAAAAACAATGCCACCAAATGTTTATTTCCTACCACATATGGGGATATCAATATAAAGACTGGATAAGAGTAATAAAGTTTGGTTAAATTCCCTCAGAAAAACAGTAGGAAGCTGATGTATTTATTTTTTTCAATTGCACTGATTCTCACAAATTTTTTTTATGTTGAATAAAATAAAAAAATATTGAAACAAATTATTGATCAATGATTTAATTGCTTAGAGCAGTAACTTCTGGCCTTTTGTGATTTGAAATTTTGTGCACAAAGTGACGGGATGATGATTAAAGTTTTTATGCATGTGGTTCCCTATTACAAAATTATACAGTAATTATGAGCAACAAGGCAGATTTAAAATGACAAAGGTGCCATACATGCTTCTTTCTCTTTAAGAAAATGGTTTTACTGACATTTTCCCAAGCATAGATTATTTTTATCACAAGTGTTGCATAAAAACTGATCAAAAATTTTATTGTCAGATGATGGCATAAATGATCAAAAACACTCTTTTCCATTTGTCTATTTCAGATTGATGTTATCATTTTAAAATATTCTCTTAAGGAAATTTCTTATTTGAAGTCAATTAATTTTCAAACCAGCTTAAATCGATTTCTTGTGTTAAATTGCGTGGGATTGACCTGTTCTTTTGTCTTAAAACCTGCACATCGT